GCCTGATTTTTTTTTTCCCTAGTGGTACTGGGGGTTGAACTCAGGGCCTCATGCTTTCAATGCATGCAGACACTTCCACTTGATTCACTCTACTTGATCCCCCACACCCCCACACACACCATGCACTGGACCTTTTTTTTTTTAACTATCAGCTCTGCTTTAATCTATTTCAGCGGAAGCAATAAAATGTATATTTATTTGCAGTCATTTGGGGAATACTAAGTGGTTCAGTTCTCTAGAGTTTAGGTTGCAAGTTCAAACTGTGGGAAAGATGAGAAACAAGGATAGCTATGGATTCAGACTGTACATTGGACTAAACTCAGAAATTTGCATTTGTTCTTGGAGGTGTGGAGAACCAATAGAAGATATAAATATGGGAGTGATGTTATATTTATAATTTTGTTTTGGGAAAAAGAAGGAGGGGTATGACTTACTTGGGCTCTACACTAGGAAATTGAGTGAACAGATGTCATGACTGAGCTACAGAATACAGATCTGGAGGCAATAAAGTCAGTATTTGGAATTCATAAGGTTGATATAGACTGAGACAGGAAAGTGGGAAGTAGACCTTGGGATCTGGGGGGTGATGGATTTTGAGTAATTGGCAGCATAGTCACTTTGCAGTTAAGAGTGGGGTTAGGACATGGGCCAATTTAGTCCTCAGGTCTTGCCTCTGAGACTACTTGGAAGAAGGGGTAGGTAATTCAAAAGAGGGATTTCTGATGTTTTTCAGTGGCTCTTGAATTGAAAAGAAGTGTGAAGTATGAGTCACATATATTTGGAAAATTATATGCTTCAAATTTATCTTGCCTTCAGGATAACCACATAACTCAATAAATAAAATCCAGGACAGTTTTTCCGGGAGAAATATAAATATGTAAGAATGTTTTTGTGGGTAAGCAAAGTCTCACAAAGTAGAGGTACGAGCAATGCTATTTTTAAGGTCATGACTTGGTGACTTGATACAGACCATAAACCTGTAAACCATGCACACACACATTTTCGGAATGAATTCCACTGTGCCTTCCTTATGTTTAGCTGACTTCTGTCATGTGTTCTACTATCCCAGCATAAGGAATAGTAGCAAGAAAGGAGAAAGAGAGATTCCAAGAAACGATAATTCCCTTGTTGAAGCAATATAAATTACTTGTCGGGAAGTTGCTCTCTTTTGGGGGTGCCTGATTGACTCCTTGGCTCCTACCAGTCTGATTGATCATGAACTTCCATTTCCATACTCAGGTGATTTGAAGGATATTGGTGGGGTTGAAGATTAAATCAAGTAATAAGAAATACTATTGGAAAAATCTTTGCTATTTCAGAGTCTACTGAGGGTTCCAGAAGAAATACCTTTTTGTATTCTATTTATTAAGACTACGGCACAGCAAGGACAATTCCACTTAAGCAATTCTTCTGGCTTCTTTCGCTGAAAGGATGTTTATTTCTTCCCAGCTGTAATCTTTATTCTCCCTTTTCCAGTAAAACTGCTTTCATAGCAGGGTCAGCCAAGCTAAAGTTCCCCAGTTTAGCACTGGCTCTCACTGTGGGGCTAAAGGGCATTGTACTCAGTCCAAAACAACACAATTCATGGCCCTTCAAAGCAGTGCTAGTTCTTCAGGCAGTCCATGAACACTGCAGAATCTCTATCCTATAATAAACATAAACTGAAAAATGATTGCATGTGCAAATACTAGTGAGGCAAGCACAGAAGTGACACTCAAAGTGCAGTAGTCTCTTCAAAAGAATTTGAACATGCTTTTCCTTTGTGCCTTGATTCCCTAAGTCCCTTACGGAGTCTTCCCCACTTGAGTAACATGCCTGAACTTAAACTCTTGGGATGAATCACAGAGGATCCTTGGAAAACTGACTGAGAAGAAAGGTATTTAGGATGATCAGTGGTAACTCTCTGAGGAGGAATAGCAGTTGACAGAAGGGATTAATGGATATCAATGTTAGGAGGCAAAGGAGACCTAAGTTTCTTAGGAGGTCTAAGCTTGACCTTGGTTTATGCTGTGTATTAAGAGAGTGAATAAGAAGACTTTGGCAGGGCAGAACAGTGACTAGAAGCAGCTGAGAGTTTTTGGGTTAGAGGTACTGCTTCATCTTCAACCTTGCAGGAGGGTCAGCAACATTCATAGGCCAGGAATATGGCTGCACATGGGTGGGCTCTATGTACCAACGAGAGTTTATGTTGATATTTGTGATTCTAGTGATATATTTGCTAATATCATTAATGTTTATATTATATAGTTAAAGTGGTTTGAGCAATGATTCTATGCCAGGCTTCTAAATGCCTTACATGTGCTATGTCAGCGTATTTGTGTTCCCCAGTTCATATGTTGAAATCTAGTCCCCAAAGTGATGATACTAACAAGTTTGACCTTTGAGAGGTGAGTAGATCATTAGGGTTCTAATTTTATGAGTAGGAGTAGTTTCTTTACAAAAAAAGCTTGAAGGGGCTTGTTTGCCCTCTCTGCCATGTGAAAAGGAAGAGGCCCTTATCAGACACTGGATCTGCTGGCACCCTGATCTTAGGTTTCCCAGTCTACAGAACTGTGAACAATAAATTGTGTTGTTTATAGATCACCCAGTGTAAAGGTACTTTGTTATATATTAGTTTGAACTGTTAAGGCATGTTACTCATTTAATCCTCAAAGTAGCAATTCGAGGTTGAAAATTATCCTAATTGTACAGATGTGGAAATTGAAATAGTAAGAGGTTAAATGGTTTTCTTAAGTCCTATATTTAGAGTGATGGAACTGGGATATGATACAGAGAATCCTGAAAATTTCTGCTAGGGTGAATCTTCTTATATTAGGATTTAGATAGTTCAGTGGCAATGTCCAGATATTATGAATGTAGCCATTCTATATAAGTTCTGTCAGTCTAATTGAGAAAGGTTCTTTACTAGATGCAGAGATAGATAGGCATTGGTATGTAGATATAGATTACTTATAGTTATAGGTGGCTCAAACCAAATGCTATCGAGATTTTTGTTACACATTTTGAAACTATCCGGTGAAATGCATAATGACTATATGTGACTGTTTAATTAAAACTAATTGTAGATTCTCAAGCTACATTTTAAGTGCTCAATTGCTACATGTAACTAGTGACTACCGTATCAGTCAGTGTAGAAAGAGAAAAAAAGTGATTTCTATCCCTGAAGAAAGTTTTATCGAATGATGCTATTTTGAAGTCATGTGACTTAAAATAACCTGTCAAAAGAGACCAATTGCGCTCATATTCCTTGTCTTCTTTTTTTTCTTCTTCTCCTTTTTGGTGGGATTGGGATTTGAACATAGGACTTTGCACTTGCAAAGCAGTTGCTCTACTGCTTGAGCCATGCCTCCAGTCCAGTTTTGCTTTGGTTATTTTAGAGATGGGGTCTTGCAAACTGTTTGCCTGGGTTGGCCTCAAACTGCAATCCTCCAGATCTCATACTTCTAAGTAGTTAGGACTATAGGTGTGAGCCGCCAGCACCCAGTTTGTCTTTTTTTTCTTGCTGTGTTTCATATGTTATGCTTGGGAATTGTTTCTGACTCCATTAAGAATCTAAAGAAGGCTATTACACAGAAAAATATCTATGCAATTATACATAGATGTTTGCATATAATTTTGGTGGCATCATGGACCTGTGTGCAATATTAACTACCGGTACCAAGCAAATTATCTCAAAACTTAATGGCTTAAGACGCTTAAGATTTATTGTCTCACATAATTTTGTGGTTCAGGAATTTGGGAGTAGCTTAGCTTATGGTTCTTGGTTAGAACTCTCATTAAGTTATACAACTTACCCCAAAGAGGGTAATTTAGGAGAGCATAGTATCATTTATGAACTTGTCTTATGAAACATTTTATTGATTTTACAGGTCAGTCCTGTTCATTATGGGAGGGGACTACATAAAGACGTGAATACCAAGAGAGAAGTCAATAGGGGCCATCTTGGAGGTTGGCTCCATCCTCTGGAACTTACACACAGATTTTGTAGAATATAAACTCTAATTTTTCATAGCTGCACTTGTTTCTCATTGTTGTAGTCCCAGTAGCTATAACAATGCTTTACAATGGGCACTCAATGGATATTTGTTAAACGAATGATTAAAGGAGCTCCAAGTGCAGAATTTCCAGCTCCAAAAGGCTCTTTTAGCACGTATGTTTATAGGAATAAAATATGTGTACCCAAATGTTTGATTTGAAGAGATCAGAATAGAAGTAATAGAATTTTGCATGGACATTCTGGAAGGATATATTAATAATATTATAAAATAAATGATTGTGATGGCAGTGTTAAACGAGTATTAGATTCTGTTAGAAACTTTATGAACTTAATTTCATGTATGTAGCCTTTTATTTACACATTATTGAGAAGAGTAAAGAGTTATGATCCAATACTGTGAAGAATGTTAACACACATGCACACATTACATGCAATTCTTGTGCACACACACATACTTTGTTCTTGGTTAAAAACGGAAAGGAAACCATGCAATTTAGTAGAAAGAGTCTTTTGAAGAAAAGTACCTGACATAGTCTTTGATGAATAATTACAACCTGGGAAACAATAGACAGGTTAAAGTTTATCATAAAAGTAAGTTTTAGAAAGAGAAGAGTGTGGGTAGCAATTCAAAACTGACAAAGATATGAGAGGTAAGGGCTATGTGCAGAAAATAATAGAAGCCATTTTCTTACTGACATAGTAATTGTGTCAAGTTCTGTCACTTTTTGGTGTCTGCTGGAATTTAAGCTTCCCAAGATAGAGGGCTAACCTGTGTAGGCTGTCACCAGTCAAGCCACAGGTTATCTCTGTAGTGAATTTATGGTATTTCCTTTAACTAATGGGAGTCATCAGGGAGGGTCTGGAGAGTAAGGAATATTTTATCACCTCAAGATTCTCATCCTAGGCACATTGTACGTCTCCAAGATACTGCAAGTTTGTGAGTTAATAAGATGAAGACAGGAGTTAGTTTTAGAAAAAGCCTAGCAGTTTATTTCTTGATAGTTTACAGTGGGATGCTTGTCTCTCTACATCTTCTCAGGAGGGTCTGCAAAGAAGCTTCAGCTGCTCTCTGTACACTGATACAGGGGTCCTGCCGAAGTGCTTGGAGCCCTGAAATGGAAAGATTAACAAAGCTAAGTGAGAAGAGTCAGAGCCTGGAGGAAAGAGCAAATCCAAGCCAATACCCAGTTTATGCAGCATTGAAAAACACCAATTAGGATCAGCCCTGTGTGGGACTCAGGCCCTAATACTCACATTTTACTCTAAGATGTAGAATTTGGAGCTTCAAGGTGAGAAAATCTTTTAACATTGAAATAAGAGGTGTTGGGGATGAAGCTCAGTCATAGAGTGTGTGCTTAGCAGTTGCAAGGCTTGATCCCCAGCACATACATACAAAATAATAAAGAAGAAAGATGGAAATAAAGGAAGAAAGAAAAAAGAAGGGAAAAGAGGACCCTGATCTAGTGATTAGTAGGTTTAAACAACTGGGAAATCATGGTCTGCAGAGAGGTGGATCTGGGGGTTGTTTTATATAGAAATTCCAGTGTCTAGAAAGGCTGAGAGATAGTTTCTGGAGCTGGGCACCACTGGCTCACGCCTGTAATCCTAGCTACTCAGGAGGCAGAGATCAGGAGGATCATGGTTCAAAGTCAGCCTAGGCAAACAGTTCCATGAGCCCCTATTTCAAAAAGATCCATTATTTAAAAAAGGGCTGGTGGAGTGGCTCAAGGTGTAGGCCCTGAGTTCAAACCCCAGTACTGCAAAAATACAAGATAGTTATTGGATATTAAAGTTTTTTTTTTAATTTCTGGGGTCATATGGAATTTGGAGCAATAGTAGTTTCTTCTTCTGTAAGAATGTAACAATATTCTGGGCATAAACTAGGATCGGTACTCACGTGTGGTCAGTTGTTCTCTGTCTAATAACTCCAAATGCTGGCTGGACAAATTGAGAACAATGGCATCTAAAGTCAACAGGAGAAAAAGTTACTGACTTTGCTGTGGGGAGAGTGGGTCACGTCAGACTGCATCTGGCCAGGAGGAGAACGGTCTGGTTAGCAACGAGCACGAGCAAATTACGTAACTCTGCCTGTGCCACTCAGAACGATGTGAGACTCCACTAGGTCTTGAGCACCATGTCTGGAATTGGTCACTCACTCAAAGTATGCTTGGGAAAGCTCACACAAGGTCTTTTAGGGAAAACAGTAGGCTTCAAACCTGTGTAAAATATGGGTCTTTATTTTTTCTTAACAATTTTTTATTTATTATTGTTGTACTGGGGGTACATTGTGACATTTACAGAAGTTCTTATGCTATTTCATTGTTGAATTCACCCCTCCATCATTCTCCTTTATTTCTCCACCCCCATTCTTGGAATAGCTTCAACAGGTTTCATTTTTTCCATTTACATACATGTGTACATAATATTTTCATCATATTCACCCTCCTACATCATTTCCTTGTATTCTCCCCACTCCCACTGGCACCCCAGACAGGACATGTTCTTATAGTCAACAAATTTATGATGTAGTTGGGGAATCATATGCAAGATCCAATAAGAAATCCTTAGATTTTAATTTGGTCTTGAAGTGGCCAAGCAAGTGGGCCTGTTCACTGTAGAATGGATTAGTTGGAACAGGCTTAAAGATAAAACTTAGAATTTCATAATAGAAGGATGTTCAGAGATTCACTTATTTTTCTGTTTATTTTATAGATTTGACAGAGAGGCAACACAGAGAAATTAACTGTCCAGAATCACAACCTAGCAGAACCAAGGTCTTCTAGTCCCCACACGATCATGCTTTCTACTTTCCACTACTGCTCAAGCTCTCTGCTTGAACCGAGCTTACAATGTTCATGTGAAGGGAATAGATGAAGGAGAGTAATTTATTCAGAGGCTAGGAGCAAAGACTTCAGGAAAAGAAAGAACAACGATTAGGAAGCAGAAGGAACATGGGGGGCTCTGTAAGAAGAATAGTCAGATGGGAAGAGAGTGAGTATTGGTAAGTCCAAAGAGACTGTAAGTTTCATTTGGGGAAGAAAACAAGCTCCTTTGAGGGAAGACATTGCAAGACATAAATGAGTTTCTTCTTGACATTTTTTCCTCATACCTGTTCATACTGGGGTAGCTTTTAGTTAAAGCAAAATGTATATGAAAATAGCAGACACATCTGAGTAAGGACTGGATGTGAACTCACCTGTGAGCTTGACAGCTGCACTCCTGATCATCTCCCAGTTGCTGGTGAAAAAGGGAATGAGTGTGTGTGCAGGATCCACAGAATTTCCTGGTTTTTCTTTGCCTAGAAGAGATTAGCATTACTTGGAAGTGACTTTATGACATTCAGCATCCTGTAGGTCCTCAGAAGGGAAAAACACTCACACAGTCATCCATTGATGGATTAATTGAAAGTTGTTATAGCTTTTTTGATTTAGATTTAATCAGGAGGAGACTGGGTCTTAAGATACTAATCAACAGATGTTATTTTTGGCAATGTAGGAGAATTGACTCTAGTCAGGACTTAAGAAAGGAGAAGAAGGAAATGTGGGAGGATGCCAAGAATCACTGTCATTCTTCCAAGACGATCTTGGCTTTGCTCAGAGTCCTTGCTATGTTGTTTACCCTTCTGGGATTTGTATAGCCTGTTGTCCTGCTATTTTGGAGGCGGAATCTATTACATACTCACCAATCTCACACAGATTTGCCTATAGAAATCTCTGGCCCTCATCTGGTCCTGATCAAGGAGATGGTCTAATATCCCATAGAGTTCTTGAAGGCCCAGGAAAGGGATGCAGATGACCAAGACATCACGGCAAACCTAGAAAACAATTTTCTGCATCACAGTCCATAAAGCATTTCCCCAGGTTTGAGGATGGAAGACACATTTGGGAACTAATATGAAAGAAGGAACACATTCTTCAAATATATTAAGAGTAAGGTCAAGGTATATTTGTAAAAGACTTTTTTTTTTTTAGAAAAAAGAAAGAAAGTCAAAAGCACAGGACCAAAAAAGTAAAGAAGTATTTACATAAAAACAGAGAAAAACAACTTTGAAATTTTTCACCATCAAAGAAAGAACCAGCATTGGAGAAGCAGTTTTCAAGTTCATTTCGGAGGGGTGACTCTCCCTAGACCAGGCTTACTGGCACTTCTTAGCACCAGAGAGAGGAGGAGGTACAGGTGTCTGTGGAAGCCACTTACAGTTCCAATCTTGGGGTTGGGATCCCAGAGGTGGAGGAGGAATGATGTCATGCTCTTTTTTATTTCTTCAGCAAAAAACAGCTTCCACCTTCTTCCTGTTAGAGATGCCAGATTCTCAAATAAGAGGATGGCGGTCAGTCTCACATCGTCTTGTTCCTGTGATGACAAATGCATCTTCTCATAGGCCATTCCCTGCCAGCACTCCCTTGGCATCTATCCTTCCCTGCCCTACTTCAGCAAAGAAAGTCTGGGACCTGGACTCTGGTACATTCTTGTCATAACTCTTCTCGGAAACCCTCTCCCCTTAACACATGAGTTTGAAAAATCATGAGTCTGGGGTTTGGGTGAACTGGAGGCTTGATTTCTGTCTTTGAGTAGTAGAGGGGATGTATGAATGAAAATGAGAATCCTGGAAGCAGAGGCCAGAGAGGATTCCTGCTTGTTGTGCATTTTACACAAATTAATTTGGTTTCATTCTTAGTCTAGAGCTATGGGACCTCTAATCTAAGTTGCTGAAGGTCCAGAGCACTTCTCCAAGATGCCAAATACTTTCTAAAGGATTATGGGCAACTGAGGCATTTGGCTTTTGGCCTCAGGTTAAACAAAAAGTGCCTGTCCTTCCTGCTGAGTATATGAAGTTATGGAACTTCCATGCTTTTTGTCCAGGATGGGAGGGATTGATTTTGAGAAGAAAAGGGTAAATTGAGGGAGGAAGATAGTCTTCTATTAGCTCACATATGCCCTTCATGGACAAGGTTCAGAGTTTCAACAAAGGAAGGTTGACCTTGGTTTAAAATACCCATATGAACACAGAAGGATATTAGTTAAGTAAACAATAAACATGAAAAGGAAGTTGATATAGGCCTTCTAGAAAAATAAAGATAGCTGGTTGGAAAAAGGCCAGAAGAGCTAAATGAATGCATCAAATGTGACTTTGTAAAACTTAGATGGTAATGGAATAACATTTTTTTAAACATATTAGGAATAAGGTCAAGGTATATTTGTAAAAGAAATTAACAAATTTATATTGTAAAAGAAAGAAAGAAATTTGTAAAAATTTCTTTTATAAAAAGAAAGCCAAAAGCCAAGTCCCAAAAAAGTTAAAAGGCATTTACTTAAAAAAATAGAAAAACAAGTTTGAAATTTTTCCATCTTCTATGAAGAATGGTAGATAATGAAAAGTCAGAAAAAAGAAGTGGCTTCACTATTTCAGGGTACTAGGAAAGACATTAAGAAATATCTGTCAAATCCTATAGTGATTGCTCAGGGTAACAGCATGGGAAATGGGAACAGGAAGGGACTAGAGCATAGGGCAACTGCCATGTTTTAGGTTCTACTATTTCTTTGAGGCATCATCATTTTTTGAGAATTATAAGAAAGGATTTATGTACATACAGCAAAAAGGAGAGAAAACATGGAAATTATGGAATTGTATGCTTAACCTACAGGAAAATACAGGGGCACAGCATTACAGAATTAAGTGTACTTAGAGAAAGAAAACATTATTGAGGAATAAAAGCATGTCATTACTAGGACCTGAGTTTCATCACACTTTACTTTTTTGCAAATGTAATAGAATAACACCTATTAGGAATGAGGAAGATTTAACCTAATGACTAGCAAGAATTTAGATTTTTTTTTCTTCTGCAACAGTTCTGAGAAACATTATCTTGACTATTAAATTGTTAGATGTATTTGTGATTTACTAGAGGCTCAGATCTAAGAGAATTATTATTATTAGTTCAAGAACCTAGAAAACCTAACAGGTGGGGACTTTAGGGGAGACTTCAGCTCGTTGCTAAAATTTGCCATCAGTTATCTGTGTAATGAAGAAAAAAAAAAGAAATCTTTGTTATCTTTAAAGAATAATTGCATGGAATCCCAGTAAGAATTTTTAAGGGCAATTTGAGAATTAAAAGTGATGTTGGTAACTTAGAGAAAATTAGAAAAAAAATCAGAAAGCTGTTTTCAAAATCCAGGCTAGCACACACAAAAAAACAAAAACATAAAATTTGAGAATTATTGACTATGGGCATATATTGCAGATTAAAACTATAGATGATGTTTAATAAATTGCAAAAGATCTAGGAAGAATGAAAAAGATTTTCAAAAATTGGAGTAAATAAATTAGGAAAAGGTTCGACTTGAGAGGTAACTTTTCTTTAAATTCTATTCAATTTTTCTTAGCCTCTTTTGGAGATCCAACTCAGTCACTGGCTTTTAAAATATTTAATGAGAAGAAAAATTAGGTTTATGATGAATAATGAAGGAAATGAAGACTTTTTAAGTTTGGAGACTGTAAGGTAAATAAGTACTTTAGTGAAGCCTTAATGCTTATGAAGGATGTGCAAAAGGAGGCAACTAGTAGTTTTCCATTTCTGACAACAGAGCATGAGGAAATAGCTTTAGATTACAAAATAATAGATTTATGTTGTTGTGAAATAGATTTTTACATTAATGACGGTGAACAAAAATAAACACTAAAATACAGTTTCTTAGAAGGTATAAAGATAATAACCCTTATTTCTCATTATTTTAGGGTCCTTTCTAGGTCTTTCTTTTCCCACCAATTTTTATCCCACCCTTCTTAGATCAGTCGTGATTCCCAGGCCAGGGAGCCCCTTCAGGCAAGGAGACAGCCTGTGTGGGAGAGCTCAGGGTAATGGCAGGACCCTGACACTACTGTACAAGCACTACTGGAGCCTTTCTTTTGTTCACTCACTTCTTCTGGGGAAGGAAGGTTCCTGAACGGTCTCACTTACGTCTTCAAAGAAGGTTCTCGTTTGCAGCACTATTTCCTTGAAGTAGAAGCTCACTTCTCTATCTGTGAGCAATTCCAGGATCTTTCTGAGAGCCTTCAAGCTTTCACAGACGACTTCAGTGCGAGCCAGGTGATACAGGCCTCTGATGATAGATTCTAACATTATCTGCTTATGCTTCTTTACCTATTTTGAAATAAGGTCTCTGAATCTTGAAAATTATTCTGTGTGTATCTGGATTAGGGAAGATGTCCTCAGACAGGGAGACTGAAATTCTATTAGGGTCATATGTACTTCAACCCAAGAGCTACTTCTTCATCAATGTATTGGTATTTTCATGTAATGTCTACATGAAAGAGAATACCTCTTACCTTGTGAGGGGCCCCAGATGCTGTGTTACCAAGTCCTCGGATGGCCATTTGCCTTAGAATGGCATTGGAGTCCCAGGCACTCTGGTCCATGAAGATTAGTACATCACGCAGATTGCCATGCTTCCAAAGGATTGGCTCCTTCATGAGCTGAAATCAACACACTCCTCCCCTTTAGAGTTAAGGGAGTAATGTCAGAGTAATGTTAAGGGAAAATGTCAGAACAACAGTTAAAGAGAGGGCCTCACTGCTGTGATGCAAAGGAGGAACGCTCAGGTGAATCAGACGTCTTGTAGAGAGACTGAGCTCTAGATGTGAGCGGCCCACATGTCAAGGTTATGTGGTAATGAAAGCCAGAATACCTGGGTAAGAGGTGTGTCTAGTTTCAATAGAAAAATAGGGCAGGGAAATTATTGGTGATTCTTTGTCTCTGGATTGGCTGGGATAGTCCTCACATCAGAGTTAGAAGGGTCAGCAATATTATGCTTGTTTATTCATCTTTGTTCTACCCTCCCAGATTTGTTCCCCCACTTCTCTGCCCTGGAGGGTTGATTTCTGCAGAGAGAGGGCAGGAGGTAGTTGAGAGAGGGTTCTTCTTCCTCCTTCACTCCCTACTTAGGTGTCTGTAGCAGGGGCTGGTCCCTCTACACTAAAACTCCCCTTCAAGGTCCCTCTTCAGCTCTCACTAAGTTCCAGACCCCAAGAAAACTATCCCAAGGGACCCAAGGAGCATACTCTGATGACCACTCTCCCTTGCCTCAGAGAAGAAAGCTGTTCCTGTTATCCGGTAGTTCTCCGAGGTAGAAGTGAGAGATGAGAGCAGGTGTTCCATGATGTCCAGTATGACTCCATGTTGCCAGACTGCCAAACTCCTACAAAATGCAAATTTTGGCAAGACTTTTTTCCCCTAAACAGTGGAAGAAATCTTAGTCAATTTGTTGTTCAGGCAAATAATTTATCTAGAAAGGAATGCTTGATGAAAGACCATGAAGGCTTAAATTGTAAAATAGTCTACCCAAGTATCCAATTTAAATGTAGTTTGTTTAAAGCAGTTCACTTGAATAGATTTTGTTTTTGAGACAAAGTCATACCATGTAGCCCAGGCTGGCCTCACATGTGCCATATTCTTTACTCTCAAGTGCTGGGATTATGGACATGTGCCACATGCCCAGTTTGAATGCTTCTTTTTGAGGGGTGTCGTTAGTTTGGTTGATACTATTGTCTTCCCCCTCAAAATCACCTTTGCTCTTTCTTCCCTGATGTCCTCCTTTGACCATAAATCCTAGGTGAGTTGGAAGTACTCTCAGTGAAGTTGCTTGTGTTGCATTTTTATTCTTTGCTTTTGGTTTTTTGATTTTGAGCCTAATTCTACCCATTACCTGGCCAGTGCACATACTCCTATGTGATGGGTATCAGGACTGATAAGTAGGGTCCATAAATTATCCCCTTCATCAGATTCTTTTGCAAGGCCTTCTCTCATGGCATGGGCTTGTAAACATTTCAGAGTTGCAGTTGAGAGTCTAAAGGAGACAACAGACATCATAAAAGTAAGTCAACCCCATACGGAGAACTGTGAATTCCCAAGATCACATGAAATGCTCTTCCAACTCTGATTAAGGGATCTTGTAAATGAGAAAAATAGGTATCCCTACACTTATACTTTAGTCTTGAGATAAAAGAGGACATACATAGGGTGTGAACCAGTAAATAATGCCACAAAACCTTGTCAACCTCCCCCCTCCCCACCATAAGGGAAAAAACCTTCTATGAATGGAAAGTGAAAAATACCATACTTCACTGCTTCTAAAATAGCATCTTTAGGATCAGAATGCATCTTGTAGTAGATCGTGTGGTATAATTACTGTTGGGAATTAGTAGTTGTGATGTTATTGCTAGTATCCGTGCACTCACATGCATGCTTGGATTCAGGTATTGCTCTTTAAACTGTTATAATTTTAGTAAAGTTACATGTGTTGTTGGAACAGCATGTATTGAATCTAAATGCTGTTTAAAATGTGTTTTAAAAGGTTGTGCTATGACTTGACATTGGAATGAAAAGTTATGCCAAAGGTCAGAGAAGCAGCAATGCAACAGAGGATGCAAATATATATCTAATAATCCTCAAAGAACCCTTTCTTGAGACATAGTTTTACTGTGTAGCCATGGTTGATCTTGCTGCCTCAACCTCCCAAGTTCTGCTAAAAGAGCTCTTTTGGTAAATATAAAACAAAAGCTTAAAAATATAAGAAAGTTTTTATTGATGGCTTAATTGTGAGCCTTTCCTTTTATCAATAGCACACAAAATAATGTTGCTTCTTTCAATTACCAAAGTCTTAGATTTGGTGAAATATAGTATTTATTTTCATTGTTTTTGCTGTGATGGCTTTCACAGAATTCCAACTTTCCAAGGAAGAGCCCAACAAAGGAAGTCAAGGGAAATGGATTGGACTTTCTAGAGAAGAAGACACAGCCCCTTATTCCTTACCTGCTCTTTCTGGGCAGCTACACAGTATTTGGGCCCAGGGAAAAGGAACTACAAGGCCAGATGCCATAGCCTTGTTTCTTCACAAGACCAGAAGGCACAGACCCTAGCTTCCACAGCCCATCTTCAAGAGTCTTGGAAGACTCTCCCTGTTGGACCATTTACCTGCAGGGGTCTGGGATATGCTGCCGTTCCCCCTGTTGCATCACACGCCGCCTGTGGATCAAGATGGAAGTGGCCATCTTCTGGCCCAGTGTGCAGCTGACTAGCTTCAGGAGGAGAGTGAACAGCTGTGCATAAAAGCCAGTGACAAGGCCTCCGGCTAAGAGCACTTCATACATAGCACAGGACACCTGAGGGGACAAAGGACCTTTGGGTCACAAAGTCTTCTTTCCTCCAAAGTCTTTTCCCCCTGGGTCTTCAGGTTTGTTTGCTAGTTGATTGTGTTAATGGTAAAGACACATAGAAAAGGGAGGGTTATTTGTCTGTAAACTTCTCAACTCAGAATGTTTTTCTCTCTTGGAATGGCCATGTTGGTGTCATGTGTGCTAGGTGCACCAGCAATGGAAAATGAGAATTTTTTTTAGCATTGGGATTTTTTCAACAAAAAAAGACTAATTTGAAAATATAGATGCATAGATTTTCTCTGAGGCTGATAAGAAATTTGCTTCTATATATGATCAGCCATAGATAAAATTACTTCCCTATTTGTCTACTATGAACTGGAATAGAATTAAAGTTAGGGTCTGAGAGGAGAAGTATAATCAATGCCACAACATCAAGGTCCCTAGTACAGTTCCAGAGAAGCAATGAAATAAATGTTCAACTCACTGAAATTGCATCTATCCCAGCAGTGTCGTCTTCTAACCTGGTCTCCAGTTTGTCTATCAAGGCTCGCATGAGTTTACCACTAGAGGCTGGGTTTTCAGCCAGTGTTTTCCACAATGTCTTTGTGTCTCTAGAATGGCAAGGAAGGAAGGTGACAGATAAGTCACAGCTCCTTGGACTGTGAACTTTTCCAACTCACTCACTCTAAAATCTTATTATGACTAATCACAATTTTGAGGGCAGATACACTAGCTGCAGTGCCATAGATATGAGAAGTGTCTTTCTTAACAATCTGGGATTCTGGCCTTGGTTTACTAAAGTTTGTCAGTGTCCATAAAGATGGAAAGCTCTTTCACAGGTGCATTCTAGGCAACCAGGATGAAGAGAAATATTAACTTTTTTCTATGGTAAATACTTTTCAAAAAATCTCATTATCATTTAATAAAAACAATTCAAAAAAACATCACTTGTGATTCAAGTACCAATTTTTAGTTATTGCTCAGGTGAGATGTTTTTCAAATAATAAATCCTTCCTAGTGCTTTGCAGAGCAGCTTTTCCTGAGAGAAGGGACCAGTTAAATTAGAATCTACCTGTCAAAGGGCAGAGGCTTCTGTAAAAGGTTGACAACAACTGCATCCATGTGAAAGCTGGCTATCTGGGAGATGGCTTCTAGCATAAACTGAAAACTTTCCTCCTTTTGTCTGAGGACTGGCATGTGATGATAAATTATGCCCAGGATCTCCAGTAGCTAAAAAGAAGCCAAATAAAACATTAAGTTGCCGTTTTCTCTCTATATGAATGGCCCAGGGAAGGTACCATAAGCATAATGTGAGTGGTTGATGAATTGTAAACAACATTGAAATCAATAATTGATTCTATGCATGGCTTATTTCTCACTGAAAAAGATTGTTGGTGAATTGGGTAGCACCACCGAAAAATATTATGAAAGCACAGACATAAGCAAATGAGATTTCTAGAATAGGAGAATGGCGCAGTGCAGGACACAGAGGATGAGAGTGAGGGACAGCAGATGACTGGATAGGGAAGACAAAGCCAGACCCACAGGCCTTTGAAGGACATTTTTCTGAATTTGGATGTTAACCTGTGGGCAAATAATACATGTGGATTTTTAACATCAACAAGGACATCTGTCTATGTTAAAGATACTTTGCTCCTAACAGAAATTTCTCTTTTTTCTAATTGTGTGTAGATATTTAAACTAGATATTTACTTTAAACATGTCTTCTTTCAATGATTACTCCTTAATCATAAATGTCCCTGAAAAATGATTACCATAGAGTTCTAATTCAGTGATAGGTAGAAATTTAATTCCCCATTGGAAACCGTTACCATCTTGTGAGACCACTCCTCCTCATGCTAAACACACATACACAGACATCCGTGTTTACCAGCCTCCATTTTCCCATTGTCTAGCCTCGTTTGTGCTAGTCTAGCTTGTGCTAACTAAATGTTTATTTAAGTGACTCATTACAAAACAATAAATACAGAGGTAATTTCTAATGCCTTTATCCAAAAGTCATGCTTTACAGAATTTTTAAATTGAGGGTGGTTGACTCTAGGATATAAGAATAAGAATTTCCTTCTCTTTTTTCCCCTTGAGGTGAATTCATTTAAATTTTCTTTCCTGCTTATTAATGTTTACATAGCTTATATTCTGTCTCTGACATCAGGAGACAGGATAGTGGTGTCTTCATTTGGAGTTCTTAACCAAGCTTCCTGAACTTAAATTCTGATCATTTTGCTTAAGTATCTAACTGGGAGGAAGGACTGAGCACTTTCTCCCAACCCAGTAGTAGCCTTGCTTATCAGATACCATACTCTACTACATATGAAAGAAACGTGTGAAGAGTCATGGTGGGGTGGGGATGGGGGTGTTCCCAGGCCCCTGATGGCTACTATAGAAGCATCCACCTGGCCATTACCACCCTTTCATATCTGACAACCCAGTTTCCATAATCTTGAATCTGCCAAAGAATAGCTAAGCCTTAACAATGGCCTTGGTTCAGAACTCTTACTCCTGGTCACAGTGAAACAAGTTTGAAAGTTTTCATGATCAGAGACTAGAGAGGCAACTGAGACAGCCCTCAAAAGCAGCCTTATTAACACAGAGCTTGGGTCCCTGGGGAGGCCCCTTGAGGCTGCGTGCTTGCTGCTCATGGTGACTGACTTGGCATTTCAGAAGTCCTGGATTTACTCAATTATACAACTGGCTGTGAGTTCACCTGATCTTCCAGAGCAAGTCCATGCTCCTTCAGGGTAGTGATCAGCCATATGCCACAGGCTTCTGTACACGTGGAGTTGAGACTTTCCAAGCCATCTAATATTTCCTCCAAGAACATTTGAATTTCTTCATTTGGAATGAATTTACAGACAATCTGAGAACACATCCAGAAAGACTCACATTAGCAAACACTTCACTATGCCTGGAAACTTATCACATGTTGCCGTTTGCTTTAGGATATTAGAAACCACTGAATTTTCTAAACAGCATATGACTGAGTCCACAGAAACTGGACAAAACACTAAAATAGGACATAGCATGACCTTTTTTTTTAATTGTCTCTAAGCAAACTTTCCCTGGGGTTGACTTTTTATCATTTTATGATTTCAGATTTATTGACTCTCAAGCTTACTGAGTCAATATCCTTTCCAAACCTAAAGTTATAGCACACTGCATAAGGGTAAAATAATGCACAGTATTTATATGGCAATTCTTTATACTGTGAAGTACCTTCACATACACTTCATATGTCATACAAATACGTCTTGAACCTGCCAAAGAATAGCTAAGCCTCGATAATTCAGGAAAATCGATCACATGTACTGAGTGCTCTGCTCAATACTCAGGTGGCTGACTGTCTGTATAGTGTAGGGATTATTAACCCCCCCCCCACACACACCTGTCTTCTCTCTTCCATGCTTCAATATCAAGAACAGCTAAAAAAAGTTAAAGAAATAAAGGCTTTGTAATTTTGGTTTCTAAGCACAAGAACTACAGAGAATGTTGGGTTGATAGCAATGTGTGAATATGTGTGTATATGTCTGAGCATGTGTGCTAATGAAAGAGAGTGGGTAGGCAGGTTAAACTTGGCACTGTGAATGAGTTCCCGGAGCAGATCTGGAGCTTTAACTATGCGAGATGGTAATATCTGTACACATGAGAGCATTTCTATTCACATCTGACTTCCTCCCTGTGTTAAATATTCTGATGATGTTTTGTTGAGAAGAAATGAGCTCCTTTTCATGAAAAGTTGCTCATTCAAGCTATTTTCTGAGTTGTTGTGGATCAAAGGAGTACACTTCTATTTCTGTGTTATGACCCCAATTAGCTACTCTCCCCAGTTCTCATCAGTTTCTCATTATCTCTGCCTCATCTGCCTTGGCCCAAGCTACCTCACCTAACACTTGGATTCTTGCAGTTTTCGCTAATCTGACTTCACAAATTTTGCTCTTATCAGCTTACATTCCAGTCTCCCCACAGCAGCCAGTGACCCTGCAGAAATATAAGCCTGATCACCTCTCAGAACCATGGTTAACCCATTGAGGCTTTGTAAATCTGGAAAAAGCATCTTGTCCTCAAGATATTTCTCTCTCTTTGTAAGTTGTCATAATGTACTCATTTTATTAGATTCTTTATTGTCATCTGCAGAATTTTTCATGATATACATACAAATCTGTCAAGTCTACATCATGGATGATGCCATCTTACATGAGGGTGACTTTACATTTCACACCTGGCACAATTGTACATAGTGACCCTGACTCTTCTGCTCAAAATTTCCCATTGGATTTTGATTTCAATTGGGATAAAAAGCAATGTCCTTAATAAGGCTTAGAAAGTCTCCGAAACAGCCCTTTACTTATCTCTTAGATTTCATTGCCTACCTCTTTCTTCACCTTAGGGCTTTTGTACTTGCTGTTTCTCCTCTGCATGGCTCTTTTCCAAATATTGTCATGGTTCTATCAGAGCGTTTTTAGAGGATCATCTCTTCCATTTCCAATTCCCTTCCTTGACTTTATTTTTCTCAGTTGTCATCATCTGATATTATATTTGTTTTCAGACTCTCTTTATAAGGATGCAGTGAAGGCAGGGCATTTGTCTTCTGCCCTTAGAGCCTAGAGCAGAGCTCAGAGCTTATATGCTACATGCTCAGGAGATAGAGGTGGATGAATGACTATGAGAGAAGGATGACTGATTTTATTGGGTTCTTTTTTTTTTTTTTTTGAAAAAGTGAACTGAACTCCAAGCAGTGCACGTGGGATGCATCTGATGGACTCCAAAGCCCTTGCACCTTCTATTCCACCCTACCACATCCCACACCCTGGAGATGTGTGGGAACCATTTGGTTCACAAATTTTCCCATAGGATGCCACCATCAGTAGCAGGTGTTGATTAGGCACATGTACATAGAGTTAGTGAGAGGACAAAAGGTTTTTTATTTATCTTGATTGTCTAAACTGTGGCCTTCCTTCCTTAACAGTGGAGAGTTGATAGCTTGCTTATTTGGAAATTAATCCATAATTGTCTTTATCCTCCTTTGCCAGTCTTCCATATTCATTACCTTAGCTATTTTGGAGGAAAGCTTTATCTGGACCTGCACATCATCACATTCCAGCCCTTCCTGTAAATCCTGTAGTCTTTCCAGTTCCAGGTGAATGCCTAAAGTCAACAGAAGGAAAAATATATTAAGAGTTCAAAGACCCAACAAGGGATGAAGAAAATGGTTATGGTTCAGTGTAAGAATAATTAAGCAACTGCATGCCTTTAACATTAATGGTTGCCTGATGAGATGGTGACTGGGGTGAGATGGATCTCATGTAGTTTTGGCATGCATTTCTCTACTGCTAAGGATGGTGACCATCTCTTCATCTATTTATTGGCCATTTTTACTTCTTTTTTTGAGAACTATCTGTTGAATTTATTTGCCAATTTATTAACTGGATTGTTTGTTACTTCTTGGAGCTCTTTATATATTATGGAGATTTCTCCTTTAGCTGATGAATAAAGATGATAAATCTGATGGCAAATATTTTTCTCCCATTCTGTAGGTTGTCTCTTTTTAAAGTTATTTGTTTATTTTATATTTTTATTAGCGCATATTAGTTGTATGAGGAAGGTTCATAGTAACATTTCCATATATGGTTACAACCCCTCAATCATTTTCCTTCATCCCTTCTAGCCCCCTTCTTAGAACAATTTCAACAGGTTTCATTGTTTTATTTTCTTGCATGCATACAAAGTACATCGACAATATTCACTCTCCTTCATCCACTCATTTGCCCTCCCCTGCCCACTGGTACTCACCCCCAGACAGGACCTGTTTTACCTTGCTTTTCTTTATTTTTTTAAGTGAATACTGATTAGAGTTTTGCCTTAGTATTTCACACGTATATATTGTACTTTAATCAGACTAACTCTCTCGAGTACTTACTCTTTTGATATCATTCTGTTCCCTATTATTCAACAACTTTCAGTGTATTTTTTTATACCATCATCATACACAAATGCAATGTATTTCAGTATTATTCACTTTCTATCATTCTCTTTTTCCTCTCCTGCCTACCCTTAGCCCTTCCTGAAAGACTCACTATTATAATCATGTTCTCTCTCTCTTTCTATAGATATGCATATGTATTTAAGATCACATATGTATTTATGTATGCATTTATCTTTTAGGTCAACTTCCACATATGAGGGAAAACATGTGACCTTTGAACTTGTGAGTCTGGCTTACTTCACCTAACATGATGATCTCCAGCAGATCTGTTTACCTGTAAACAACATAATTAATTTTCTTTATGACAGAATAATGTGCTATTGTGTATATATACCATATTTTCTTAAACTATTCATCAGTTGTAGGACACCTGGGATATTTCAGAAGCTTGGCTTTTGTGAATAATGCTGTGTTAAACATGAATATGCAAATGGCTTGATTATATCCTGACTTACATTCCTTTTGTGTGTACACCCAGGAGGGGTATAGCTGGATCATCTGGTAGTTCTTAGTTTTTTTGAGGGACCTTCATACTGCTTTCCATAGTGACTGCACTAAATTATATTCCTACAACAGTGGGTAATGGTTCCTTTATTCCGGCATCCTCACCAGCATTTGTTGTTATTTGTGTTATTGATGACAGTCATTCTGACTGGAGTGAAGTAGAATCTCAATGTCATTTTGATTTGCATTTATTCACTATTTGTACTTTATCTTTTGAGAACTGTCTGCTTATAGCTCATTTGCCCATTTATTAGTTAGGTTGTTGATACTTTGCAGTATTTTGAACTACTTTTCTCTTCTGTTTATTAATCCCTTGTCAGATGTATAGCTAGCAAAGACTTTCTAACATTCTGTAGGCTGTCTCTTCAGCCTAGTGACTGCTTCCTTTGCTTTGCAGATTTTTTTTGTCAATTCTTTCTCTTAATTACTGAGCTATTGGAGTTGTGTTTAGGAAGTTATTACCTATGTATGTTCTAGTGTTTCCCCTTTTCTTTCCTGTAGTAGTTCCAGGTCTTAAGATCTTTGATCCACTTTGAACTGATACTACTACAAGCTGAGAGACTGAGATATAATTTCAATCTTCTACAGATGATTTTTCAGCATCATTTGTTGAAGAGGCTATCTTTTTTCCAATTCTATTAGACATTTCAGTCAATTCATCATCTTTGGATCAGTTGTTGTGTTGTCGGGTTTTGGAGGGGAGATACTGCCTTGGTTTTTCATATTTAAATTTCTACACTGTGATTTGTGCATCTGTTGGGCTAAATTTTTCTTTTACATTCTCACATATGTGGAGAAACTACTGCAGTAACAAGGTTAATATTTCAGCAATAAACCAAATATTTGAATGTATAAAGAGCAACTGGAACCCTTAACTGTTTCCCTTTTAAAGTTGTATGGGTAAGAAGCTCTGGTTCCTCGGGGATTGATCAGGGAGTTTAACATTGGTTGAAAAATACAAGGATTGAAAATTGAGTAATATAGGGATGGGCATGGTAAAGGGTGGGCAGTAAGAAGATAGGAAGAAAGGGAGGTAGGAAGAGGAAATAATAGAACAGGTGAGCACTATATAGTTATAACAGATAAGTAGAGAATGATTTGGGAAATAAGGAGAAAAAACAATAATGAAAAAAAAATTTCCAGAAATAACTCAAAATTCAAAAAAAGGAAAAGAAAAAACAACCAAATGAAAACAAATTAGATAAAAAGAAAAAAACAACAGTTTATTTTTCTTGCTGGAGAGGTGTTGATATTTCTTGTGTTTTGTCCAAGTTAGTCTCTTTTGTCACCGTTGTTATGGGAACAGTTTCAGGAGGGCGAGATTGCACCTCAGCTGTTGTCCATCTGCCAGGCAAGTTTTTCTAGTAAGGAGGTTTTTGGAAGAAGGGGAAATTTCTAACTTAAGGTACAGGAGGAGGCTTCAGGGATGGGAGTGGTGCTCATAGTGTGGTTGATCCACCCCAGGACAGTCTCTTAAAGAAGTTTGCCAGCGAGTTGTTTTGGGGCTGTGCAGCCTCTTTAAATAGGGGGTGAGCCTTTGTGTTGAAATGTGGAGAGATCTGAGTGGGTGGGGCCACTCATGTCATAAGTGGGACCTCAGTCAATGGAGCTGCTGTCACTGGACAAGGTGGTGCCACTGACCTCTGGGCCTTTGGCTGCTTATTATTATTATTATTTTTTTGTGCTGGGTGGGGTACACTGTAGCATTTACAAAGGTTCTTACAATGTATCAAATATATCATACTTGAATTCCACCCCCTCCTCTTCTCCCCCATTTCCCCTCTCCTGATTATTGGAACACTTTCAACAGGCATCATTATTGCATTTACATATATGTGTATACATTGTTTGCACCATATTCATCCTCCTACCTCTTTATCTGCCCTCCTGTTCTCCGATTTTGTAGAAGAAAAAACATAAAAGATGAAACAAGAAACATAACGTTTTGCTAGTTTGAGCTAAGGACAGCTACACGGGGAGTTTCCTTGTGTTGTTCCCATGCATATGTGTATTATAGCTCCAATTGATTTGCCTCTTCCAGTCCTCTTCACTACACCCTTGTCCGCTTCCCATGGTGGCCCCAGCCACTTTAAAACTTCTGTATTCATTCCTGTACAGTGAGCACATCAACCTCATTCAAGGTTTTGGTTTCCTTCCCTTGCCACTTTGGCTGCTTGGTGGGCTTCTGCCAGTCTTCAGAATGCCCCTGACACAATCTCTCTCCCTCTCTAAGTCTGCCTTTGGTGGCTGTCTCCAACTAGGACACTGGCTGTGAGTCTTGGAACTTGCCAAGCTGAGATGCTTGAAATCCCCAGGGTTGCTCAGTTTCAAAGCTCACCTTCGTGCTGGTAGTTTTCAGGCAGCTTCAGTAACTTGAGTTTTCTGCCAGTAGAGATTGGTGCTTTGTTTTAGAAATTACTCTTAGCTGATGGAGGTGCTGTTTGCTGGATAAACTAGGGTAGGTGACCTCTCAACTTCTTGGTTGCTGCTTTTCAGATTGCCCTACTCCCTTTCTACATCCACCTATAGTGGCAGTCTCCTATGTGGACACTGTGGCCAGGAGTCCCAGAACTCCCTTGGCTGTGATTTTTGAAATTCCCTGGTTGCTACATCTCAGAGTTCACCTGCCTGTAGGCAGTATTAAGGCAGCTTCAGTAAGCTGAGCTCTCTGCCAGTGAAGAATAGTTGGTTTCTTTTTGAATTTTCCATAGGCAAGTAGGGCATGCCTGCTAACACTGTGCCTTTCTTTTCCCACCTGCCAGCTCACCACAAGTCAAAGTCTCTCCCCATCCAAAAGCCTCTTGTGGCTATTGCCTCTCACACACAAAAGGCCCTGGGCTGCGATTGCTTCTTGTTTTCAAGATGACTCCCTATCCACCCAAGTACCTCAGTCTTGATCAGGAAGCTCTCAATATGGTGCCTTGCCTCAGCTCTCTGAGATATGAGGAATGAAAGGTGTTCTTGTCTGATGCTGGATGGCTTGCTGTGCTGGGGAAGTTACTGTCCTGTCAAATCCTCACAGTTGGGTTAGGGTTTGTGGGAACTGTATTTTTTGTCCCACAGCTAGATCTGTCAGTCTATAGAGGAGACTGTCTGGCTTATGTTAGGGTGGAGGCTTTGCTTCTTTCCTCCTGGAGAAAGCTTCTATTCCTCTGCCATCTTGTCTCTAATCCCCAGCTCTTATAGGTGTTTCTTGATTCTGGTAATTGTTTTCTTTTGATATGCAGAATCTTTTAAATTTGTCATTTCTTGCTCTTATTTCCTGAGCAGTTGGAGTTCTATTCAGAAAGGCTTTACTATCCTTTTTTATTTTTATTCATTTATTCATATGTGCATACATTGTTTGGGCTATTTTCCCCCTTTCCCCCACCCCTCCTTTTCCTCCCATCCCCCTCGCTTCCAGGCAGAACCTGTTCTGCCCTTTTCTCCAATTTTGTTAAAGAGAAGACATAGCAATAATAAGAATGACGTAGTGTTTTTGCTAGTTGAGATAAGGATAGCTATACAGAGAGATTCCTAGCATTGCTTCCATGCACAAGTGTATTACAACCTAAATTGATTCATCTCTACCAGACCTCTTCACTACTTCCTGGTCACCTTCCCATATTGACCTCTGTCATTTTAAGGTTACTGTATTAGCTCCTCTGCAGTGGGCACA